GAAAAACCCCCTCTCGGCAGAACACACCTACGCAATTAATTGCTCTCCCAACCCTACTGTGGACGCCGACCGTAACAATTTACCACTACAACATTAGTATTTACATCTGTCGTTATATTATATAGTATCACATGAATTCAATATTACTGGTTCTCCCTAAATATAAATGCAGGTTTCTCTCTAAGTGCAGGCATTGACCTCAGTCCTGATGACCTGCACTTAGGGAGAGTCCACTGTAGTCTTAAAAATATAATCTGGTGATATGTCACACTAAATGTAATTAGAATTAATGTAAATATGTAGATCATCCCACTCCTGCAAAAATCACTTGACTTCAGGCAAAGTTTTCAGCAAATACTCTAAAGCAACTTTGCAAGATTGTCTTAAATACACAGGTAAAAATAAACAATTTCAGTCTCAATTAAGCTGCAGATTTGTTTCTGAAATCTGTCAGAAATGCATGTTAAAAGTATTCTGGTCATGTATTATAGGGCTAAATCAAACATCATCATCATTCAGATAAATGTTCCTTCCTAGTGATCACTCTGATGCATTTAATGATGTTGCAATGTCTTTACCATCCACCTCCACTATTGCAGTATGGTTGTTTGCCATCAGTCTTTTGAATTTCCCCTCTTATGAGAACATAAACATAGTAATAGGCTGTAACTTACATTGTGGGATTTTGTATTCATATTGTGGTCTGTTGCATAATAATAACCATGGAGGTTCCAGCTTCTATTGTATTGTTTGCTGTCTTTTTTTGGTAAATACTTCCTTCTATGTACTTAGAATGATATTTATCACCATTTATCAAAGCTGTTGCACCCATGATTATGATATGCATTACTTAATCATATCTTCTTGATTTCATCATTACCAACCTCAGTTAATTCTTCTCCTTCATCTATCATCAGGTGTGTTATACACACAATGCATTTTCTATCCAAACATCACTTTGTGAGACATAATACTGTGAGCATGATGCACACTTGAATTGTAATTGATAATTGATGCACTAATAATATGTACCCAATCCTTCCTCTATAATCTAGGTCATTCTCAACAGCTCACCTCCCCATCTCAATATGGATTTAGGGTAACTGATTTGGAAATTTGTGTAAGGGGAGGTGTGGGGAGGCAATTTGCCTTCCCATCAGGAGGGGAGGTGCCTAATTTGGAAAAGTCCATTTTGATCATGATTACCTTCCATAAAATTTTAACTTCACATGGGGGATAGCCAAAGTAGGGGCAAATACATGAAATCATCAAATTAATAACAATTTTTTAATTAAGTTATTGACATTTAATATATTAATATATGAGTAAAATTTCTTGCTGAACATTTTTACTTAGAAGTCAAAGGCTAATTATTATAGTAAAATTTTGAGTTATTTATGAATTTTCTTCTTTTTGGCTTGTTTTGAAGTTTATATTTACACATGATCTTGTAATTAGATTGGTTAACTTCGCCAATCTTTGAAATTTAATTGGACTGATTTCTTGTGTTGCCCCACTTTAGATGACCCTTCACATGGTAATATTTAATATTTACTGCAATTGGTTAATATTAATGCCTACATAATAATAATATCATCATAAATTAGTGTCTATCATTTTCTGTATTTGATCATCATCGCGAAAAATTTAAAGCATGATAATGAAAGGATCAAATAATAAAGAAAACCCACCCATTTCGTTCATCATAGAGGATCCATCATCATTTGTGAATTGACATTCAGTGCAAACACCATTATTGAATGGTCTTATGTCTTGTCTAATATGCCTATGGATCCTATCATTATAAATGAAGACAATCATAAATCAGCTGACTGACAATGCATCTCTCAAAACACAACCTTATGAGACAGTAGGTGATCACACAATACTAATACATTGAACACTCCCTGAATTAATATAATATTATCAAACAGATATTAACCAAACAAATAAAATTGATACATATACATTAGTTTGCACTTACTCAAATCACACAAATGTCAAGGCAAGTGGCTGATGGAGGGTACAGGTATTGTTTAATTAATTAATTTTATAAAACATATTAGTAGAAATACCTGTTAATAAGTCATAAACTTTCTTCACAAGCAGAGTTGAAAAAGAAAAAAGAATGGAGTTGTGAAGCAAATTTAGTTATTCTTGAAGTAATAGGGAAATATTATAAAGTCTCCACCATAGTAAGTCTGCAAATGAAAAGGGTCTAATTTGGGCAAGAATGAATTTTCTGGATGATGTTGAGGATGTAGTAGTAAAGCCTTATGCAAGTGGTATGCTGAAATTTTATAGGTTATCATAAATGATAATATGTTAATTTTTAATTGATTATTAGGTGGGAGAAGTTGACAACAGCAAAAGAATGGGAGCTGAGTGGATGGAATTTGAATTTGAAGAGTGAATACAGGAAATTGTTGCAGAAGATCCTGTTTTCAGTTTATAACTCAGACAGTAGAAGAAAAATAGAAAGTGAAACTCAAAAACAAGGGGGAGAAAAGAAAGACAAAAGAAGCAATACATTGGAAATTCTTATTGATTTAAATGAGCAAAATCATAAGGATAATAAAGAATTTCAAGAAACGTTGTTGTCAATGTTTGGTCAATTAATTTTTGCTATAAACCAATAAGACCTGTCATTATTATTGTCACTTACATTTATCATAAGAACACTTGCTCTACAATCAGATTCTGTTTTCTTTGTGCTGAGAGAACTTGTGTATTAACACCATTAGGATCTGCATATTCATTATCTTCATTTATCCTCCTATTCAAGTCTGTCTCATTTTCCCACAAATCATCACAATCAATATACATATTGTGGAGGATGCAGCACACATCAACAATATCTATCAATTACTTCCATAGCCTGCTTCAATATTCTCCATCACACTTTGAGTTTTCTGAATGCTCTCTCAACTACCATATGAGCTGATAAATGCACTTTGTTATACTGCCATTGAGCTTGAATAAGGCATTGTTGTGCATGTCATGTTCTTTAGTGGCACAAGAAGCCAGGGCAACAGAGGAAATGCAGAATCACCAAGCAAATGGGTAGTAGCAGGAAAATATTTACTGGCATCTTGCATAAGCTCTTCCCAAAAACTTGATTGTTTGAATACTTGAGCATTGTGCATACTTCCTGGTTGGCCTGAATAAATATAGGTAAACCATTCAGTATCATCTACTATAGCCATTAGAACAATACTATGAAAGCCTTTTCTGTTTATATATCTTTGATGATATGCTGTCTGAGGTTGCTGGATTGGTATGTGAGATCCATCAATTGCTCCAATAACATTAGGTATGCCTCTGATGGTGCAAATCCTTCAATCACCTCTTCCATTCAATTACCTGCTGGACAGCAAATACAATGTTGCAGAGAATCCAAGACCACTCTGAGGAAATGTTTAGTAAAGTGTGTAACAGATCCTTGGCTTATGCCAAACGTCTGCTCTATTTGGCAATATCCAATCAGATTTGCTAGACATTGATGGACAATTGCCACCCGAATTTCTATCAGAGTTTGACATTTGAAAGGTGAGGATTGGTAATTTTTGTGCCTTGATAGTATATTGAGCAATTGATTGAATGTTGACAGATTGATGTGGAAGTGAGATTTGAAACTATTATATCTACTTCATCATTTAAATAAGGAAATATATTAGTCCAAAAGCCATTGGTCTTTGGACATGGTATCTGTGGTGCTCTGCATATTCTTGATTTATGCTCTATATTAATATTATATATTATCAATTACCAATGCTCCAGTTTCTATTAGTTTATCATCTGTCTCTTTTTGAGAAATCACAGCATCTATGAGCAATGGATGTTGCAATAACTGATAATCAGGAATTAACCCGACACGTTACACAACCCGACACGTCGTACAAATTCGAATATTATAAGGGTCAATGGTAGATCTTTACTGGTTTTAATTCTGGTGTTTCCCTCCTCTACATCTCCGCTCTCTAAAATCAC